AGATTAAGGTACAACTTGAACTTAATATTCTCCCAAAGACAGGGTCCAGTTCTGCCAAGTTAGAGACACAAATACTATCCTACCCTTACTGTACCTTCTTTGTGCTGTGTAATATACTTCTGTGGCATACAAAATTAACGAATATTTGTACTACTCAAAGTCCTGTTCAAATGAATGGCACAACGATCCTATTCATTTGACTAGGACTTTGTGTATTGCAAAACCACTGCTCCAGCTAGTCACAGAACAATGCTCTAGTCATATAAGACATGGCAGCAACTATTATATTCTTACTATGGCACATCTTCTTATGCAGAAAATACAATATTATTACAAATTATCCTTATTATGCAAAGTCCTATTAAACAAAAAGTCGTACACCTCATTCGCGCTAATGGGATTTTATATGTTAAAGATAACACACAGTAGCCTTATAAATATTACATAGAAAGAAATTGCCTATTCTGAAAAAATTTAATTCTTTTGAAATTAATTTTCAAAACATTTCATCTCATTTCATGGCCTTAAATTTTTGGCAGCTTCTTAAAAAAAAAAAAAGAAAAAAAGAAAAAAAAAAAAAGCCAAACATTAAACATAAGCAAACAGACCAAAGAAACGAACAACTGGGGTGAAAATGCAGTCTTTAGCTATGTACCTTAAAAATATCCTATGTTAGGGATATGTAAGCAAATTTCCAGGGTGACATCCTGCAGAACAAGTTTTTTTGATTCATTTTAAAATATGCTATGACTATGCTGACGTGACTATGCTGAAAACACAAGATGAGGTGCTTTTATATCGGCAAGAGCTACTGCTGATAAAAATATAAAATTGATCTGACAGAATAACCGAATGTAAGGCTTAGTCACATGAGATGAGATTTCAGGAAATGGTTTCATAACAGTAAACAGTTACTTAATTGCTAACAAATTAATTTTTTCACGTTGGTTAAATGGCTTCATTCTATTGACCTCAATGAGAGAAGAATAATTCCGAAAATGTTAATAAAATGGTAACAGTTAGTTTTCATGATCAGTATCAGTTATTCAAAATTCTTATCTTAGAATACATTTTTCAAGAAAGAGGATATTGTTATAAAGATCATTTTATGAAACAAAAAAAAAAAATTTAAACACTCTACTTTTTAGGAAGTATGGTGATGAAACTAACACCTAGGATGTCAATTTTCAACAACTGTTTTACATCACTCTTGCAGTAAAATTCCCATCTGGGCTGGCAAGTTGTGTGCCAAGTTTCAAACAAATGTGATTTGAAATTGCCAGTATATTAGACTCTGAAATTCAAGTGAGATGCTAATAAAAAGAGATGGGTACTGACAATAGATTCTCATATTCTCTTAACAACACCTATGGGTCTGAGTGTTGTACTAATCTGTTAACAAAATTCTCTTATTATTTGTAACTTACTTATAGTACAGCATTAGAATATAATGCCATCAAATTGTTAGAAAACAAGCTAACTGGATATAGTTTGTAAGAAAAAAACAGTTGTGCTGTAAAGAATGTAAAAATGGTGCTGCAGACAAAACCTTGTTATTCAGAATCCCATTAGTTACTGAAAATACCTAATATAAGTTTTGTTGATCAATACTCTCATGTAAGTTCTAAATAATGTATGATTCCAGTGGAGAAAAATGCAGCAAATCAAAAATGGAGGGAGAATGTTTCAAATTATGAAGAGTACTATGACTGCTAATCCATAAATCAGAAATCAGAAAGATTTTTGTAATGTGGGAGGGCTCTATTTAATAAAGGTCATTATAACTCCTGGCTCTAGAGCTATAAGATCTAATATCCTCTCTGGTAGCTCTATGATATGCCCATGCATTACTGTTCTTGTTGACAGTCTGTTGCCTTGGAAATATTTCATTATTTCAGTTTTTCCATTTGTAGACCCTTGGCCTTGCGATATGAAGGCCACCCTATTTCATATTTTCGATTATCATTTAAGCAATCTTCTGGAGCTATTTATATAAAAGCAAGTGTTAGACAATGCATATCATCATTTATCACTGCTATGTTTAAGCTCATGCTCTAGAAAAAGTGCCAAACTAAAGGTTTTTTCTCTTTCACTTCAAACCAATAGCACTCTAATATTATGATAGTCTATACAAATCAATGCTGGCATATCATATGCATGACACTTCTGTCTATTTTATTTTCTTGGGTGTATATCCACACAGTTGAAAAAACTAAACTGTTACTATAACTGTAAAATTTGCTAAGACTCACAGTTTAAAAGAAAAACAAACAAATATAAGTGTGTATCGTTTCACATATCCTTTTAAGAACCTAAACAGGTGAAAAAAGTTTCAAAACCATTCAAGTGCCTGTTAACATCAGAGACTACTACTTTTTACATCTGTTTTGCAAGCACATTTTTTGCTTGAAAAAATGTAACACAATCTGCCTAAATACTTGAGGTAGTGAAGACTAAAAAAAAATGTACATAAAGTTAATTTAGAGGATTCTTAATCCTGAGAACTAGTTTACTGAAGTAGTAGCTACGAGACTGCTAAACCCTTTCAGTAAGTGATATGCTCCTGTATTTCAAGTATCTTGGTTTCTACATATGAAAGGATGTGTACAAATACAGCTAAAATAGATACATGCAAGACTTCAAGAGCACATTACACAACTTTTAATAAAATGTACATAAGTATCTGTTTATTGGAGCATTGATCCATTTTCTCCAAAACTTTAAGGAATAAACAGACTGACATTATTTTTGCTACAAAAAATGTCACCAACTTCTACATGCAATACTTATACCTAAACTATCCAGAGCACTGTAAAGAGTGATAATAAAGTGAACCCTAAGGGCAAAAAAACAACTTCCTGGACACTAGGCCAAGTTTGTGGCTATTAGTGTTCTAGGAATTTAGACTACCTTTTTCCCCTGAAATGATTACACCTCCCACTCCCTACAGGAAAAAACTACTCATATCCAACCTTTAAAATGACAGCATCAGAGCTGAACAAGAAGATGCTATTAAAGGGCATTAAATTAAATACAGTATATATCCTCCTACAACTTCAATCAGAATTTCAGACCAAGTGTTATTTAGTTCAGCTCTCAAGTGGAGCAGAATAACAAATCGCGCACTTTGATTTACCTTCTCCGAATGCCAAATGGAGACAGGTGATAAAGAAAGCACTCATGCACAGGCTATGAAGTTTCCCCTAGAAATTAATTCTATCTTCAAGATTCCTATCTCAGAGAAATTCCCAAAATGGCACACAAATATGCTTCTGCTGGAGAGATTACTGAAGCTATCCTGGCAAATACACTTAGCACTAATACAGTAACATTCTCAGAAAGAAGACAGCAGAATTGTTTGTTGTGGGAGAACAGGATGTATTCATATGAATTGTTTTTCCAAGAAAGAATTCTGCAGGAGAAAAACCTGCTGCTTTAAGTGTTATTAACACAGTAGAAACACCTTTGCAGTCGCTGGAATGAAGCTTTAAAAAAAAAAATGTTTATAGTTGAAAATGAAAATCTGTAGTTAAGTCACTGACATCTGAGGATGCGGTTTTCCCATTAGGTGATCTCCTAATTTTGCTACATATCAACAAAGCCTTGTCAAAGTGCAACAGTTAACACTAATGCATCTAAGACAAGCACACTAACACTTCACTGGTGAATACGAGATGTATGAGTTTTTTATACCACACAGTCTGCTTTCTTAGGAAAAATGGCACAGCTACTTAGACAAAATCTGTAGGGTTTGGAAGTTGTACTAGAAAAGCTGATCATTCTAAAATATGCAAGTATGAAATTAAGGCTGAAGTACTTTTGTTTAAATATTTTTCAGACTTATTTGTGCTGTGAAATATAAACCGACTAACACATGATCCAGCTACTTTTAAAGACTATCTAAATGGTAATTGCCATTTTTCCAACTAGCCAGGAACCTTCCTCACCCCTCACACTCAAGTTCACTTGTAACGCTAAAGGGGGCGGGAGGGAAAGAGCCCACCCCAAACCCTCTGGCTGCGCTCTTCTGGGCATATATCTCGTCGCAGTGTAGCAATGGAGCTTTGAATACTTTTGTAAGAATCACAAAGTAACATCACATGAACTTGTACTCTTGTCTCCTACCAGTCACTTCTAGAAAGATTCACTTTACTAGAACAAATCCGCTACGGGCAATTCGTGTCACCAGCAGAGCACATTAATCACAAGCACTCTCTCCCAACAAAAGTACATGGGGCAGGCGGCGGGCCGGGAACCAAGCGGGGGGGCAGCGCGATCACCCCCGCCTCCCTCCCCGGACCCCGCGCACCGCCTCCCCGCCCGCCCGCCCGCGCACCGGCTCCGCTCTGCCCACCCGGGGGCCGCGGGCACCCGCGGCGGGCGCGGCGGCGGGGCGGGGGCCGGCCCGGGCAGCCCCGCGAGCGCAGCTGGCGGCGCGCCCCCCCCGCTCCGGCCTAGCCGCACTTGAACCGCACCGGCGGGGCCGGCCCCTCCGCCCGGAACGCCGGGCCTGGCGCGGCGCCCCAGGGCCGCCGAGCGGCGGGGGCCGCCGGGGGGGCCTGCCGGCCCCGCGCACACACACACACACACACACACACACACACACACACACACAGAGACAAGCACACAGACACACACAGACACACAGGCACACGCGCCCGCTCCACAACGCCCCCCGCCAAGCACCGGCTCCGGCAGCCGCGGCGGTGCAGCCACCGGAGCGGGGCCGCTGCTGCGCGGTTTGTTCGGAGTGTGTGTGTGTGTCTGCATGTGTGTGTGTGTGCGTGTGTGTGTGTGTGTATGCGTGCGGCTGGCGGTGCGCACTAGGAGGAACTCACGGTGCCCGGCTGTGCGAGCAGCGGGTGCCGGCAGCAGGTCCCCCCACCCCGGCATGGCAGCCAGCCCCGGCCCCCGGCGCCGGCGGCTTGGCCCGGCCCGGCGCTGCTGCGGCGGCTGCTGCTGCTGCTGCTTCTGCAGGTTCAATAAAGAGAAAGTGTTACCGTTCTCGCCTGGAAGGATCCTGCTGAAAGCTTGGCTTGGTGGGCGCCATCTTCCTGGGATTTTTTTTTTTTTTTCTCCTCTCTCCCTTACTTTTCCCCCTCCTGATGTTGGTGTGTGTTGTGTGTCTAGCAGCAGCAGCGGCGGCAGCAATGGCCCCGGTTAGCCAGACAGGCTAAGGAAAAGTACTGAGGCCAAAGCATCGCGGGCTCCCACTCCTCCGCGCAGTCCTGGTGCAGGTTGCTTGCTCGCTTGCTTGCTAGCGCTGCTGCTGCCGCTGCCGCCGTCCATAAGCCGAGGAGCGGAGGGAGCCGGGGCCCCGCCGGCCCCAGAGACATGCCCAGCGCAGGCAGCGGCGGCCGGCGGCGGCGGCGGCGGGAAGAGCCAGCCGCGGCGCAGCCCCGGCGGGCAGCCCGGCCGCTGGCATCGCCCGGCAGGTGCGGCACACGCACACACACACACACACACACACACTCACACACACTCAGACACACACGCACGCACACGCACTCCCTCGCACACTCGCACACACACCCCCGCGCCCGCGGGCCGGGCTACGCGGGGTGCCAGGCCATCGGGCTAGCGGGGCGGGGGCGGGGGAGGGAAGGAGGGGTGTCAGGGATCTCCAGGCTTGACCGCTGTGAAAGTATTTCTGGGCATTTTCCAGCTGCTTTCCCAGCTCCGCTCCCGCTCTGCGTGCAGGGGACACAGCCTCTGCTGCCGGCGCAACAACGCCACTCAGTTGCAGTTTCGCACACTTTCTTCCTCTGGAGTCTGGGCTCCAGCAGCGGAGAGGAGCAGAGAGAGGCAGGGACTACAACACCGCGGGCGCAGAAGCGCGGCGGGAACACACCGGGCACAGGCAGCGTGTCACCCGTGGGCTTCCACGGTGGAGTACGGGCTCGGGTGGGAGCAGCGGGCCCCGGGGTATGCGAGGGCCCTGCGACCCACGGGGCCGTACCCGGGTGTGCCCGGATCCAGTCCAGACGGGCCGGGCCCGGGGAAACCCGGGCATCCCCCAGCCATCTCCGAGAACGCGCCCTCACGTCCTGAGAGTGGGCATGGGGTACCAGCGAGATAAAAATGCGTAACGCTGGAAACGTGAACTTAGAATGACGACCCGCTTTGTTGGCAAAGGGTGTAACACTTCACGCGGTTTTACTGGAGATTATGAAACTAATCATGAAGTAAAGGAGCGGGGAAAAGAAACCGCTACCTTAATTGTTCATTCCAGGACCCTGGGAGAGCCCGAGAAATCACTCGTTCGCTAAAAGCTTTTCATCTCCAAGGAAACTTTGTGACTGTTCTGCTGCTCCCTTGGAAATACAAATGCCCGGGCCTGATCCTGCTCCCTGGGAAAATCCTTGGGGAAATGGACAATCCCCGAAGGTCGGCCGCATTTATTCACGAGAAACGTTTCCGCGACTACTCCAAAAGTTTTTTTTTGGGGGGGAGGGGATGAGGCTGGGGGCCAAGAGCGTGTGCGAGCCTCAGGGCAGAGCCAAGGGGAAGAAGTTAGCAAAACACCTGGAAGTTTGGCTGCCGGGAGCCGTCCGCGCACCGGGGGCCGAAGGATTTCCTTCCGCAGGAGGCAACCGGGCCGGCGTAACTTGGGGCGGCGCGGGGCGCAGCGCGGGGCCGGGGCCGCGGTGCGGGGCACGTGCGCGGCCGCGGGCCCCGGGAGCCGCGAGCCCGCGGCGGGAGCGGCGGCGGGGCGCGAGGCGGCTCCCGGGGCTGCGGGGGGGCCGCTGCACAAAGTAGCAGATGCCGCTCCCGGCCGGCAGTCCTGTCTGCTCGCCTCCGAAATGAAGGGAAAAAAAATAAGAAAAGTTAACAGGTGTCTTCTCCGCTGTGGCAATAGAGTGAGGAGGTGTCGTGTCTGCCGTGTTTTAAGCGTTTTGAGAAAGCACGGAGAAAAATCGTTCGACGGAAAACCACGCTGTGTCATCCGTAACATAGAGTGAAAATTTGGAAGAAGTGCATAAATGTTTCCTCTCGCAGGTTACTGTGCGAGGCATCCAGACTGGTCTGGATTCCTGGTAGTAAAAGTACTTGAATATCTATTAAGCACTGTTTGGATTAGAGGTGTTAGTAGTTTGTCAGAGAAGTATTGCTTTTATAACTTCTTCCTGATTGCAGACTGATAGAACCAAACTATTAAACGCGAAGTTCTAAAAAAATTGTATGCTGCCTTGTCTACATAATTCTGTTTAACTTAAAGTCTCCAGAGGTCTCTTTCATTTGTCTAAAAGCCAATCTGACATTTCTGACCCTTGACTTCCCCACTTCACAGACTAAACTATTGTGATTGCTGCCTGTACTTCCTCGTTAAAGTGTCCGTCAGTTTCCATTGTAATTTAAATATTTTATAAGTGACAAAAATTATACAGAATCAATAAAAAGAAAGAAACTTTAATCTATTCTTATAAGTCTCACCTTCAATTTTTTTTTTTTTTTGGGGGGGTGGTATATGAAGGATTGGTGTGTTTCTTCGAGCAAACAAGACTCCTGCTTAGTTTCAAATATTTCTTAACTAAGAACGTCCTTATCATCAGAGCTTATTTCAGGAATATCAGGTCCCAATTAACTCTCATTTGATAAAGCCTACAAAAATTACCATCAAACATTTTCTATCACAGGCATCAAAACTATAGGAAGCAACACAAAAGTTGCTGAACGACAGAGCAGGCAATAGTTAGTTATCTAAATCTGGCTCCTAAACTAATTAAGTTTGAAATATTATTCTAAAGCTTCCTAATTTTTTCTCTTTTACACCATAGGGATGTTTAGTTTGGACGTTTAAGATTATACAGCATTTTTCTCGGTATTTAATTTAATGCAATAGTGGAAATCAAGATACTCGGGACAGTGCCCTTTTAATTGCATTTAGAGAAATGTAAATGTTTTGTTCCGATTTCTGTAGATCTGTTGTCTTCTACTTTTTTTTGAGGATTCGGCTACGAGTATAAGCTTATGATAAAGCAAACTAACAGATTCAGACTTCAGGCTTAGAAACATAAAGAAATGTCAGGTAATTAATTAAGCTTCATGTTAGTATCAGCATATATCGATGAATTGTTAGGGCAAATGGGGAACGTCTTTAAACTTCATGATGACTTACTGCCAACTTTCTACGCTTTGCTTCCTAAAGGCGCTCTCTGTGAATTTCCTGCATTTGCATTAGAATGCATTTAAGATGAAAAAAATAACAGTGCTGAGTATACTTAGGGTTTTGGCTATATTTCCCTGTAGTAACAGGTGACATGCTAAAACTGTTAAAACTACAATGTGGAATTGCAAGTGTGCAACCCCAAGTGAAAATTGTACTCATTCTTGGTTGAAAGAAAATTATCAATCAGCATACCATGATCAATTATCCCCCTGGCTGCCACACACTGGGATTTGCACAAGGCATTGACATTGAGAAATTCCTCTTTAGAAAGGATGAGCAGACGGGATCCCAAACTTTGCAGCAGCCAAGCTAAGATGCCGGGGTCTCACTTTTTTTTTTCTTTCTTTCTTTTTTTTTTTTTTTTTCCTATTGTTGCTTTACAGCTCATCCAGGACAAAACTAGGAGATTGTGTTTACTTCTCAGTGCATTTTAAAAGATGCTGTATTTTTTAAAAAGTAAAAAAAAAAAAAAAAAAAAAAAAAAAAAATACACCCTCCCCTCCAACCAAGCTCTCCCCCCCGGAACAAAACAGAAATGAGAGATATTTAAAAAAAAAAAAAAAAAAAAAAAAAAAAAAGGAAAACAAAGAAACACAAAAGCACAAAGAAAAAGCAAGTGAGGGAGCCTCAAGAAGAGCCGCACACCCCTCTCCCAGTCGGTGCTCACCGTTGTTGGTAGGAGGTGATGCCCTGGACGTTTTGTGGGTTGCCGTTGGCCGCGGCGCCGGCTCTCCCCATGCCCGGCGCCGCCGGCACCCCCCCGGCCGCCCCGCCGGCCGCCGCCGCCGTCACCTGCACGCTGAAATCCGGGAAGATCCTGATCATCCCCGCGGCTCAGCACCCGGCGAGTGTCGGCGAAGAGGTGCAGCAGCAGCGACTCTCCCTCCGGCGGCTGCAGCAGCAGAGCCAGGCACACTGCAATCCCATTAGTGAGTGGCGGCCACTGTGAGTGAGGACGGGCGCTTTGATGTGAGCGGCTGGGCTGAGATTGAGGAGTTTGGGGGGGCTAGGGGTAAAGGGGGGGGGGGGGAAATTTACCGAATTGCAAACATGCAACGCGTGAAGATTTGGGAAGCGAAGTTGAATATCAGAGCTACCAAGGAAAAAAAAAAAAAAAAAAAAAAGGTATGTCGAATACTACTGGAGCTGTAGATATAGGCGAAAAATCCAAGCTAAGGAGGGACGGGGAGGAGAGAGGGGGGCGCAATTACTTTAGCGGTGCAGTGAAAATGATGAGCAGCAAATGTTGCCTTTTTTCCCTCCTCCTTCTCGTCCCTCCACCCCCCACCCTCCACCCGAAATGCAAGTCTTAGAGGATTTCTCTGTCTCAATGAAGTAATAATAAAGGCGGCTGACCACAGTCTGGGTTAGCGCCAACTGTGCGGGGGGGCCGGGGGTGGGGTGGGAAGGCGGGGGGGGGGGGGGGAAGGGGAGGAATATCCCTGCTCCCAGAGTCCTGAGGAGAAGAGGAAGAGTGGAGGATTGTTGCAGCACAAGTTCTCGCTCTTGGTAACTTGGTTTTGCTCTCCTAGAGGCACCCCGCAGCCCCCCTTCGTCTCTTTTCTTTCCTCTCTGTGAAGGGACGGTTTTCACAAGCGAGGAAATGCGCCGCTTTTGTGCAAAGGCAGAGTTTGTTCCTTATTCTAGGGAGCTGACTCTCCTCCCCTCCTAGTGTGCAGCAATGTTACTGCGAGTCAAACTTGTAAGGTGTGTGCTGTCTATGCACGCACTGAGCCCTATTGCTGCTCCAACATATCAATTATGGGACCGCGCGCTGCGCAGAGCCCCTGGCAGAGCTGCCCTCCGGGCGCGGCACACACCGCACCGGCGGCGGCGCGGAGGGGCCCGGCCTCCAACGCCCCGCGGGACGCGCGGCCGCAGCTCCACGGACGGCACCTTTGTGCCACCCGGGGCTGCGCGCAGCCCCTCGCCTGGCCCGGGCGGGTTTGCCGTCATCCACCTCCGCCAAGTGCTTATCCCTGTGCGCGGCGCTGCGCGGCTCCACCAGCCCGCCGGGACCGCGCCCCTGCCCGTCCGGGACCAGCCGCCACCGAGCGCGCCTGGCCGCGGTGCTGCGCGGGGCGGGCGCCGCGAAGGGAGCGCGGAAAGTTGGGCGTCAGCGCAGGCCGGCGGCGGACCCTCCTCGGTTTTGCCCAGGTGGCTGCCTTGCCTTGCTTCGGCCTTGGGGTGGGCTTCCTCGGTGGAGGGGACACGGAGACCCGAGCCCTCCTCGCCATGGTGCTCGGCGAGTGCTGCGCGGGCTGCTCCCTCCTTCCGCAGCTGCAGTGGGAGACGAGGGGAGAGGATCCCGTCCCGGAGGGAGCCCAGCGGCTGTGCCAGTCAGAGGCAGCAGGGGAATGGCAGAAAAGCTCCCTCCTGCAGAAGGGTCCCACCAGATCGCCTCACTTCTGGGGGCGCCTCTGAACCCACGGACCCGGAGCCCCAAGCTGCTGATTGCTGGAGCTAAAAAGCGCGGTGCTTGTGGGGAGCTGGACTCTTCTCCAGCCCAGTGAGTGGACAGCTGCCAGAGCAGAAAGTAACACGCTGCGTTACTGCACCTTACACAAACAGCAGCCGTGCTGCTAACTCGTTTCTGAGGAAACCGAGGCTCATACCAAGAGGAGCTGCATGGGACAGAGCACAGGTACCAGCACTCCAGAATATATGTAGTGTTGAAAAGCCTATGGCAGCATCTCAGAAATGGGCAGAGGTCCTAGGCTGTCCCCTCGCTCCAAAGGCGTTGCAACCTTTGCTTCCCTGAATCAAAGTGGCCCCCTGGGCCAGTCTCCCCTTTTCCC